AGGTGACCCTGAATCCTCCCTTAGTTATGCTGCAATAGATGTAGGCTGCCGGGGATTCCCATGATGCATTGAGTTTTTCTTTTCCAGTCACCTTTCTCACTCACTATGTGTTAAGATAAGATACCTTTATTAGTCCCACGCGTGGGAAATTTGTTGTTAAGGCTGTCGAAAAAAAAAAACACCTCAGCACATAGCACAGGAATCATCACATCTCACAACATACAAGACGTAAGCTTCGGAGGCGTTTGGAGGGGGTGGGGGGTGAGTGTAGGTCTGTGTCAGTGTACATGTATATCTGTGCGTGTGAGTGTGTTCCGTGTTCAAACGAGAGAAAGTGTCCCTTCACCCAATTAGGCAAAAGTCAACAGTCTTCAGTCAACGCAGGTGGCCTTGAATGAGGAGGGAGAAAGTCACATGAAATGAAGATGGTAGCTGTTTTGGTTAGTGCGAACAAACTGCTTCCAATTTTACAGTTGTCTAATGTCCGTCACTGGTCACAAGTTTCTTGTTGGAGAGCTGTGAGCCTCCATCCATGCCGAGATGTTATCCAGTTTGCTCATAGGGCATAAGTGTTCACGACAGCCGTGAGCCTCTCCGAGATGTTGTCAGATGTTGTCAGTCGGTCTAGGTACTCACAGCTGCCGCAAGCTTCTCCAAGATGTCATCTGTGCTGCACCTGATGAGCCTATTCTGAGAAGCCACAGCACACTCCATTGTTCCAATCAACATAGCGGGCAGCCTTGTGAGGATTTGAACAGCCGTTTCCGCTTCCTTTATCCTTCGATAAGCCAGGGCCAAGCCAGCGCCGATCAGCAAGAACCCTGTTATCATAGTTCTGAAAAGATGTCTTCAATGTTTTGTCACGGGCTCTTCCGAACCCAGGCTTCTTGTCGAGGGTGTCAATTGCATTCAGGGACCAGTTGATCAAATCCATAATTCTTTAGGTTTTTAGAGAACAAGTCTGGGAGACTCTCTTAGGGTTAGAGAATAAGCGAGACTATACAAAAGACATGAGAAGCCAAGCAGGAAAGACAAGGAAGAGGGAGAGCGGAGAAGGAGAAAGTGCGACGGCCTCTGTCAAGAGCCAAGAGGATCTCTCTGCTTTGAATCATATCTGTTATTAATCTTAATCTTAAACAAATAACCTTAGCTTGTAAATTTGACCTGCTTAAAATCTCCTGGTGAAAATTCTGGGGTAAAAAAGCTGTTTTCAAAGAAGGAAATTAATCCACAGACATAAACATGGAAACATTTTTTAAATTTCTAAAATTCATGTGGTTAATGAGATTAAGTTTCATGGAAACAGCTAATTATCTAGATTTATCCACTTTTGAAAGATTGTTTCTGCTTTTTGCTCCAGTGTAACCACAATCAAAAACAATTTCCACCAAACTAAAACCAAGTCAAACTCTTACAACATCTAAGCTTTTTGTAATCATGAGGAGATAAATTCCAAAAATGTTCCTGCTCTTTTCAACTTTTACTAAAGCTCTTATGGAGAAATGATATGTGCTGCATATTTTGGCAGTTGTCACAAAGCTAGGGTCTAATTGGATAGAGAGAGACAGAGACTGAATCTCAGGACTGCATTTGTGGTTTTGGAGCATTTTTAATGCAATTATCTTACAGATAATACAACTCCTGTGTGGACAAGAATACTCGAGAAGTTCTGTGCTCCAGTTTTGGCCAATGAAAATCTAACATTGTGTTTGGATGCTACTTAACAGTAATTAGCATGATTCTGTGACTGTGTTATGCTCCCATAAAGTCTGCAGATACAAAAAAGCTATCTAGCAGGCTTTCATAGTAGCTGATGAACAAGACAATTCATCCTGCTATTCAAATTTGGTTTATAAAAAACAAAACAAAACAAAGATTGAATGGTTGTTTCCCTTTTTTTAATCTTTTATGATTTTTGTTTTCCAAATAACTTGTCACATTGTTAAAGTGTTGCTACAAAAATGGAAAACTGAAAAACATTTCAATATTCATAGATTTATAATTTGAGTTTAGATTTTCTTAAAGACTGTACAGCTAAAAAAAAATGTAATCCCAATAAAATAAAATCACACATGTAAAATCTGCAACATTCAGAAGTCTGAGTCTCACCTTCAGGTTTTCTGTGAACACATTGTCTCACCAGCAGAACAAGTAACACCAGTAGAACCACAACAAAGACTGATCCAACACTTGACAACACAGGGACAAGATAAGAACCAGGGTTAGAGGTGGATGGGGGTTTGTCTAAAATAAAGCAAACACAGTCATTAAGTTGTTGTCACATTGTGAATGTTGAAACCTGCAAAAACACAGACAGGTGAGTGTGTCACCTGTGACAGTGATCCAGCTGGATGGAGACTCTCCATGACCGCTAATGTCACACTTGTAGAGGCCTTCATCAGACCTGGAAACATGCTGGATGGTCATGTGACCTGTAG